TTTTTTTTTCATCCTTCACCATTATCAGTAGCGACCACTGACAGTTTCACTCTCTGGGTTTTTGCCATTTATGGGCTGTTCCACAGCTGGAGTCATCGGTTTGGTCGCCTTCCAGGTGGGCTTTCAGTTAGCAAACGTTTGGTGTATCCCCGGTGAAATCCCATTTAAGTATGGAATATTGGTTCTTGTTTGTTTTGGGGGCCACGCCTGAAGGGGCTCGGAGCTTTCCCCTGGCTCAGCACTCAGGGTTCACTCCTGGGTCTCAGGGGACCACATGGGGTGCTGTGGGTGGAATCTGGGTGAGCTGCGCGTCCAAGGCAAAAGCCCTACCTGCTGTGCTATCGCTCTGACTCCTGAAGGATATCTCTGAACATGGCCTATTTGCCTTCTGATGACAAGTGTCTGCTTTTCACTGCACATGCAATCGTGGCTTTCCCTGAGTGTATGTGCAGTGACATGAGAGCTGTCCTTTCCTTGCCTTAATGAAGTTTTTCCATTGTTCTGATGAGAAACTGTTCTTCATTCTTACGTACTTGTGCCCGTGTTCTCTCCTTTTTCTGCTGCTTTAAAGATCTCTTTCTTTGCATCTTGTGGTTGATGAGGTACCTAGAGTAATATTCTCACAGTTCATACCTTTCATCAAATCCATGGTTTCGCTCATTGATTTTATGTAATTCCTTCCTTCCTCCATCCCTGCCTCCCTCCCTCCCTCTCTCCCTTCCTCTCTTCCTCTCTTCCTTCCTTCTTTCTTTCCTTTTGTGTTTGGGCATATCCAGCTCTGCTCAATGATTGTTTTCTCAGAGATTACTCCAGATGATGCCAGGCGTCATATGTACTGTCAGGGACTAAGCCTGAGTTGACTGTGTGCAGGGGAACAGCACCAATCTCTGCACTGACTCTCAGGCTCATTTTTGTTTTTTGAAAACATTCAGCCATGCTCAGGGCTTACTGTTGGCACTGTGCTCAGAAATGTCGTTGTTTCTTGTTTTAATTTTTAAAATTATTTTTAGGGGCCTGGAGCAATGGTTCAAGGGGTAGCGTATTTATTTCCCTGCACACTGTGATCCCCATTCAGTACCTGTCACCCTGTGTGGTCCCCGAGTCCTGCCAGGAATGATCCCTGAGCACTGCTAGGAGTAAACCCTGAGTACCCTCAGGTGTGCCCTCTTAAGATAAACAAAATAAAAAGCTATTCTTTATTTATTCATTTATTTTTTACTTTGGGTCACAGTCACAGCTGGCAGCACTCTGAGCTAACTCTGACTCTGTGCTCAGGGATCAATCCTTGTGGTACCCAGAGGACTTTATGTGGTGCTGCGGTTCAACCCTAGGGGTCTGGTACTTGTAAGGTAGGCACCCCACCTACTGTACTCTCTCTGTAATCATTAATCACTTAATCACTTAATCCCCGTTATTCATCGATTTACTCGAGCGGGTGCCAGTAACGTCTCCATTCATCCCAGTTGCGTGCTAGTGTAGCCCAATGGTATCTGTTCGTTCTAGGAACATGCAGAGCCTCAAACTGATCATTCAGAGTCTTGACAAAGAAGTCTGACCATCTTGTAGGTGGGCGTCCACGTGATCTTTTGATGTCCCGTGGAATCCAATCAGTAATGGCTCTAGTCCAGCGGTTGTCTATAAACCTCATTACGTGTCCAGCCCATCTGATTTTTGATGTCTTGGCAAATGAGACAGTGTCCCTGATTCTTGAGCGTTGACGAAGATCAGAACTCTGTATTCTATCTCTCATTTGAGTGAATCATGATATTCCAAGCATAGCTCTATCGATTCCTCTTTGAGAGACCCGAATAGCGTTCTCATCCTGTTTTCGTGGGGTCCAGGTCTCTGAGGCATATGTTAATGCAGGAAGAACAGTGGAATCAAAGAGATGTGCTCGTAGCTGGAGGTTCTTTGTCCTTTTAGTTATTTCTTCAGCGCTCTTGAAGGCATTCCAAGCCGCTCTCTTCCTCCTGCACAGCTCGGGTGCCAGGTCATTTGTCATGTCGACTTCTCGACCTAGGTACACATAGCTGTTGCATTCGGAGATGGTGGTTCCGTAATCATTAATCATTTCAAATAGTGGGGCTAGAGAGTGCAGTAAATAAGGCACTTGCCTGGCTTCAGCCCACCAGGGTTTGATCCCCAGCACTCCATATGGTCCCTCAGGACCTGCTAGGAGTCATATCTCTCTCTCTCCCTCCCTCCCTCTCTCTCTCTCTCTCTCTCTCTCTCTCTCTCTCTCTCTCTCTCTCTCTCTTCCCCTACTCCCCTTCATGAATTACTCCTGGCTATATGCAGTGCTGGGGATAGAATATGAGTCGGCCTTTTGCAAGGCAAAAACCTACCCGCTAAACTATTGCACTGGTTCAGGTGCTGTCTGTGAGCACAGAACCAGGAGTAGTAAGCCATGAGCACAGCCATCTGTGTCCCACTCAAAACAAAGAAAAAGTTCACATTGTTTCAGTGCTTTCCCTTTCTTTCTGGAACTCTAAGTGTAAGTCTGGCACACTGTTCTCTAAAGTTCTTTTTTCTTTCTTTTCCTTAGGATCAAAGGGGAGCGTTTACTGTAGCAAAGGAGAAAGTAGCAAAGGCACTCCTGCAAGAAGGGGAATGAGAGTCCAAAGGGGAACCCGCTGGCTGCCTTTGCTGTTTCTCTCTTCATACTTGACGCTTTTTATTTCCCCACCCCCTTCCCATTCTTCTCCCCAATGGGTGGGGATATCTGGACGCTAAGATTTTAACTATCTCCATTTTGGAGGATTGTTTTATTTTTTAAAAAAAAACTTTGTAATTTCTTGTTTGGGGGCCATTCCTGGCAGTGCTCAGGCTTACTCTGGCTCTGTGCTCAGGGATCAATCCTGGCAGGGCTGGGGAATTGAACCCAGGTCTGTTGCAGGCAAGGCAAGTACCCTACCTGATGTATGTCACTCTGGTTCTGTTTTATTTTTTATCGAAGCCTAGTGGTTCACAGCCTTGTATAATCATTATTTCTTATTTTGTTTTCTCTATTTTTTTCCTCCCCTGTGTGGAGGTCTGGGACTGCTGAGCTGTATGTCGCAAAAACCAAAGAATTGGACAAGGTGGACTAGAATCAGTCCCAGAGACAAGGGGGCTTTTCTCACTCCTCCCATTACCAGGTAGTAGTATGTCCTTGTGGATTTGCTCTTCATTTCCATAACGGTTGGAAAAGCTGAATGTATTTCCACGTGCTACATTTTCCAGCTTTCAAGTTACACCCAGAGATGCTGAGGGCTTACTCCTGGCTTTGCACTTCGGAATCCCTCCTGGCAGTGCTCAGGGACCATATGGGTTGGCAGGGATCGAACGTTTGTCGGGTGTGTGAAAGGCAAGTGCGGTCCCTGCGGCATTTCTCCCCATCCCCAGCTCTACTCTGTTCAGTAGCTTCCCATAATTGAAGTCCGTATTTTAGTATTGGGGCCACAGACGGTGCTGCTAGGTGCTCTTCAGGGTATGTTACTAGGCTTTGGTCTCACATTGCTAACGACTACTCAGTACAGGTGATCAGACCCAGGGTTCATTCCTACAAAGCTTGCACTCAGGCCCATGAGCCATCTCCATGGCCTTTGCTAACTGTGTCCATTCCTGCGTGTTAGATAGCATTTCTGTATGCCTTCGACTGAACTCTGGGGATTAAACAAAATTTCTATTCTTAAAATTCTAGAAACTGGAAAGTCAGTATCAAGTTGCCATCCAGCTGAGATGTGTTCCTGATTTACAGCTGAATTCTTCCTTCTGAGTCCATATGTGGCAAGAGCAAGGAAGACCTATCTTTGTCCTTTTACATGGTCATAGCCAGTTATATGAGAGATACCAGACTTCAGGCTTCTTGAAAATTGCCTGCTGTGATGGCAAGATCGCTAAGTGGGCTGGACTGCGTAGTCTGAATGCAGGAGTCCCAGGCACCAAGTGTCGTCCTGTTATTGCTTTGAATTCATAAAAATATGTGGTTTACATGAAAGAACTAATGGATTTGGGTCCGCATCTCTGGGTCGTGAGGCACATGCAGTATGTCAGGACAAATGACTGCTTTTGCATTTTTGCTCCAGATCATAGTTATCCTATTTTGAGCATTGGAATTCTAGGAGATTCTTTCAGTTCTGTATTTATACTTAGGTTTCCCAACAAGAAGATTCTTTATATAACTGTCACTGTCCTCCCATTGTTCATCGATTTGCTCAAGCCGGGCCCAGTAACGTCTCCATTGTGAGACTTGTTGTTACTCTGTTTGGCATATTGAATATGTCACGGGTAGCTTGCCAGGCTTTGCCGTGTGGGCGAGATACTCTCCGAAGCTTGCCGGGCTCTCAGAGAGGGGCAGGGGAATCGAACCTGGCTTGGCTGGGCTGGGTGCACGCAAGGCAAACGCCCTACTGCTGCGCTATGGAGAAGAATTTTATTCACAGTTTTATTCATGACAATATGTGTGTTTTTAATATGGGATACTGTGGCACTATTTTTATGAAGTATAATAAAGAGGTTCTTTGGGGCCATACCTGGCAGTGCCCAGGGCTTGCCCCTGACTTTGTGCTCAGGGATTGTTGTTGTCACCATTCCTCGATAACCTGGGTCCACTGGTGCCTTTGGGGCTGATGACCATCCCCCCAACCGATGAATGAAGGAATGGGGGGGGGGCATGGCCAGTAATTAATGGCACTTTATTTAAAGCAGTGTCATAGAGAAACCATGAGGGTTGGGGCAGCCCTGCACACAGGTGTGGTTGAACATGAACATTAAAGCCGCTTCTTCAGGGGAAGTGCTTTTGTGGGATCCGCCTAAGGACTGAGTTTCATCCTGGGGCTCCAGCACTCAAGATTCCTTCTGGGAGACCCGCCCAAGTACAGAATTCCAAGGCCATGGTACTTTCTCCTTTACTTTCTGGTAATCTCCATAAACAACCCTATTCAATGTACTTCTTCCTAATATTTCTAGTCACTTCTATTAAACACATTAAGAAACATGGACTTTTTTTTGTACCCTAGATTAAGCTTAGAATCGTCTCTTTAACTCATGGTAAAGGGTGTCTTTTTCTGCGGACCTCTCCCAATATTTCCAGACTACAGTCTTCAGGCCAGGTGAGTTTTTCCTCACCCCAACAGGGTCTTATTCAGTTACTGCTCTGGGGGTCATGTCAGAGTTTGTCCCATGCATGTGCTCTTACGATACTTCTTATGGCATTGAGGTGTCCCACATTGAACTAGGGTAGCTTACAGCTTGCCTCAAGGGACCCACCTTTTGGGTGTAAGCAACTACGGTCAATCTCAGGGCAACTGAGGCTTAAGTCAAGTAAACAGGATGAATGCCCAGGAGTAATTATTCAGAGTCAATTAATTCCCATATTATCCCAAAAGCATAACTAACTGTTTTTCTGTGTCGATACCAGAAGGACATTGCTCTAGAATTAAAGTATGCAGAGGACATAAAGGAAAGAGGAAAGTAGTATTTCGCTTCCATATACAAAATCCAGAGTCTTTAGAAGGTTTGACTTTATAAGTTATCCTTCTGATGGAGACATTTGTGACTAGCAGATAGGGGAAGCAGAGCACAAAGGAGAGAGTAAAGATAAACACAGAGGATTGGGAGTGCCCTGATGAGATAGGGTGTGCCTCAGGAGCACCTTGGTGGGTGTGATTCAGTCAACCTAAGGTCTCTGCTGGAGGAGAAGGGAAAACCCAATGTTAAACCTAAAATTCTGGAACTGTAACCCAGCAAGGGATCGCTCCCTTTGGGCTTGGGAGACTATATGGGATGTGGGATTAAACCCGGGTTGGCTACATACAAGGCAAATGACCAGCACATTCTGCTATTGCTCCGGCCCCACGGCTAGAATAGTGAGCCCCTGACTGAGAGAACTATACCATTACAGGGCATGATGCTTTTTGAAGAAGTGGCAGTGGACTTCACCTGGGAAGAATGGCAGCACCTGGACGGGGAGCAGAGGAGCCTGTACAGGGATGTGATGCTGGAAACCTACAGTCACCTGGAGTCAGTGGGTGAGTGAAGATCCCAGTCACAGCCTGCTCAGCTTTTAGTAAATGAATATACTACTACTTAGGAATTTAAACATGTAGGTTGTATACAAGGTTTTTTTGTGGCACTCACATAAGTGAATAAAAAATTGCTATTTGTGGAGAAACAAAACAAAACAAATGTAATAAGACTATTCACCCTCTAATCAAAGATTCATGTGACCCTCTACTTTTTCTTTGTTTTCAGTATTCATTTCTGCCATAGTTGATTGGGCTTTAATCTGCGTGGGCTAGTCCCAGGCGGCATATGAAGGGTATTGATGACCTGGCATGTAGGGCATTTGTTGCACAATTTCCTTTGTTTTTAAGGCTTTAGCATTCTGATGATGTATCTTATGAGAATGTTTAACTTTGATAACTGGCTATTATTAATTTATCAGCTACATCATTCCCATGGGCCATAAGCCCCAGCAAGTTGGAATGTGCCCGTATCTGGGTAATATATAACAAATGAATTCTAGGACATAAAGATCCTGTAATGTTTTGAATAGTCCCATTCACTCACTCTGCATGAGAGGGAGGGCAGCTGAAGTCACATGTTTCACAGTCCCAGCTGCATTCTGTGAGTCAGTAAAGCTTCCTCAAAGTCTTATAATAGGCAAGTCACGGCATATAATTCATTTTTCTGTACAGATTGATATGGAGTGTCAATTTTATGTGTTAAAGAAAGAGTAGTATAAACAGCTTTACCTTGATTGTTAGTATCAGTAAAGAAAGTAGGAGCATGGCATATAATTCATTTTTCTGTACAGATTGATATGGAGTGTCAATTTTATGTGTTAAAGAAAGAGTAGTATAAACAGCTTTACCTTGATTGTTAGTATCAGTAAAGAAAGTAGGAGCAGAAGGAAGCGGCTCGTTTTTAACTATGTTTGGCAATATCCAGTTTGTAAATTTTAAAAATTGAAGATTTTTTTCTTAGGGAAGGTATTATGAATTCTTCCCTTGTAATCTGTACAGGCTATTTGCCAGTCCTCATCTAATTCCCAGAGCGTTTTCGTTTGATCATTAGTTAATGGGACTAGTATTTCTGCAGGGTCCTGCCCCACCAATCGCCTGCAGCATTGATCTGCCTTTAGATATGATTTTAGAGATTTTTGCAATATATGTTAAGAGAGTTCGATTTGCCTTGTTTGGGAGAGAACTCCATTCTGCTATATTGTCCTGTATCAGGACTCGGGCAGGGGAGTGTGAGGTATGTAATACTGTCGGCTAATTTTAGAACAAGGCTCAACTCTGTTTAATTGGGCTTGTTGCACATTTTGTTCTATTAGGCCAAGCTCCTGCTCTGCCTCCTTTGTAAGCTCCCCTGCACTTGTCAAGGCAGGATTGCCTTCCAAAGTGCAACTTAAATTTTGTAAGGCCTAAGTTGGCATTCCAAGAGAACGTTGAAGCCAATTAATATCCCCTAATAGGTTTCGAAAATCATTTAACGTCTTTAGATTCTCTCCTGATTTGTATCTTTTGTGGAATAATTTTAGTTTCCCAAACACTTGGTCCTACGTATTCCCAAGAGGCATTTTCTGGACCTTTTTAGAGCCCCAAGATTCCAATTCATTCAAGGTCTGTTGACACATATTTTCTAGATCCTGTTCTGGTGGGGCAGCCAGCAATATGTCATCCATATAATGAATGAATTAGGCATCTGTAAATTTTTTCCTTAGTGTTTATAAAGACTGGTTTACAGAATATTGACACACTATAGGGCTATTCATCATTCCTTGAGACAATACAGTCCAGTGGTATCTTTTACTGGGACTTTCATATTTTATTTGTTTTTAATTTTTTTATTATTTATTATTGAATCACTGTGAGATGCAGTTACAAGCTTTCATGTTTGAGTTTCAATCATACAATGATCAAACACCCATTCCTCCACCAGTGCACATTCGCTGCCATCTATGTCTCCAGGATACCCCCTCTTTCCACCCCTCGCCCTGCCTCCATAACAGACAATTTCCTCCATACTCTCTCTACTTTTGGGCATTATGGTCTGCAATACAGATACTGAGAGATTTTCATGTTTGGTTCTTTATCTACTTTCAGCACACATCTCCCATCCTGAACATTTATTTCAACCATCATTTACTTAGTGATCCCTTCTTTATTCCAGCTGCCTTCTCCTCCAGCTCATGATACAGGTTTCCGGCTATGGGGCAGTATTCCTGGTTCTTGTGTCTACAGTGCATGGGTTCATCGATTTGCTCGAGCGGGCCCAGTAATGTCTCCAGTGTGAGACTTCTTGTTACTGTGTTTGGCATATTGAATACTCTTGGTAGCTTGCCAAGCTCTCTGAGAGTGCATGGGTATCCATCTCATATTATATCATTTTATATTCCAAAAATTAGTGCAGTTCTTCTATGTCTGTCTCTCTCTTTCTGACTCATTTCACTTAGCATGATAATCTCCATGTCTATCCACTTACAAGCAAATTTTGCTAACAGCTGCATAATATTCCATTGTGTAGATTTACCAAAGTTTCTTTAACCAGTCGTCTGTTCACGGGCACTTGGGTTGTTTCTAGATTCTGGTTATTGTGAACAGTGCTGCAATGAACATACCGATGCAGATGTCATTTCTACTGTGCTTTTTTTGCACAGAGATATTCTCAACAGTGGTATTGCGGGGTCAAATGGAAGCTCAATTTCTAGTTTTTGAAGGACTGTTCATATTGTTTTCCAGAAAGACTGGGCCAGTCGGCATTTTCACCAACGGTGAAAGAGCGTCCCTTTTTCCCCATATCTATGCCAGCATTGGATGCTTTTGTTCTTTTGAATGTGTGCCAGTCTCTGTGGTGTAAGATGATATCTCATTGTTGTTTGGATTTGCATCTCCATGATTAGCGATGTAGAGCATTTTTTCATGTGCCTTTTGGCCATTTGTATTTCTTTTTTGATGTAGCTTTTGTTTATTTCTTCTCCCCATTTTTTGATGGTGTTGGAGGTTTTTTCCTTGTACAATTCTACTAGTGTCTTGTATATCCTGGATATTAATCCCTTATCAGATGGGAATTGGGTAAATATTCTTTCACATTCTGTGGGCTGTTTCTGTATTTGGTCAGTGTTTCTTTTGAAGTGCAGAAGCTTCTTAGTTTGATATAGTCCCATCTGTTTACATTTGTTTCTACTTGCTTAGTCAGTGGTGTTTCATCCTTAGAGATGCTTTTAGCTTCAGTGTCATGGAGGGTTCTGCCTACATTTTCCTCCATGTACCTTACGGATTCATGTCTGATATTGAGGTCTTTAATCCACTTTGATCTGACTTTTGTGCTTGGCATTAGACAGAGGTCAGAGTTCATTTTTTTTCAGGTAGCTATCTAGTTTTCCCAGCACTACTTGTTGAAGAGGCTTTCCTTGTTCCACTTCACATTTCTTGCTCCTTTGTCAAAGATTAAGTGGTCATATATTTTAGAATCTGTGACAGGATATTTGTCTCTGTTCCAGTGGCCTTTGGGTCTGTTTCTAGCCCAGTACCATGCTGTTTTAATCACTACTCCTTTGTAGTACAGTTTGAAGTTGGGAAAGGTGATGCCATCCATCTTCTTTTTCTCAAGGGTTGCTTTAGCTATTTATGGAGGTTTATTGTTCCATATGAATTTCAGGAGTGTTTTGTCTATTTCTTTGAAAAATGTCATGGGTAACCTGATAGGGACTGCATTAAATCTCTATAGTGCTTTGGAGAGTATTGCCATTTTGATAATGTTAATCCTCCCTATCCATGAGCAGGGAATGTGTTTCCATTTCCTAATGTTGTCTTTTGTTTCTTGATGTAGTGTTTTGTAATTTTCCTTGCATAGATCCTTCACCCCTTTAGTTAAGCTGATTCTGAGGTACTTGATTTTCTGAGGTACTATTGTGAACGGGGTTGTTTTGTAATGTCTCTTTCTTCTTTTTCATTATTTGTATATAGGATGGACTTTTGGGTGTTGATTTTGTAGCCTGCCACTTTACTATGCAAACCTATTACTTCTAGGGCTCTTCCGTAGAGTCTCTAGGGTTTTCTAAGTATAGTATCATATTGTCTGCAAATAGTGATAGCTTGACCTCTTCTTTCCTATCTGTATACCCTTAATATCTTTTTCTTGTCTAACTGCTATAGCCAGTACTTTCAGCACTATATTGAATAGAAGTGGTGGAGCGGGCAACCTTGTTTTGTGCTTGATCTTAGAGGGAAGGCTTTTAGTTTCTCCCCATTGAGAATGATGCTTGCCATGGGCTTGTGGTAAACAGCTTTGACTATATTGAGGAAAGTTCTTTTGATGCCCATTTTACTGAGAGTTTTCATCAGAAATGGGTGCTGGATCTTGTCAAATGCTTTCTCTTCATCTGTTGATATGATCATCACGATCACAATCATCCTGTTGTTCGTCGATTGCCTCGAGCAGGCACCAGTAACGTCTCCTTCGTCCTAGCCCTGAGATTTTAAAAAGTGCCATATTCAAGGCTCTTTCAGGTTTAAGAGAATGAGACCCATCATTGTTACTGGTATCTGGCATATTGGGTACAGCACAGGGAGTTTGCCAGACTCTGCCGTGTGGGCAGGTTACATTCGGTAGCCTGCCAGGTTGTCCAAAGTAAGAATGGGATAATAAGATGTTGCACAGCCGCAAATGCAGCCACACGCTTCTGGGAGCTAGGTTTTATAGTCTCTGGATCTTGGCCATTGATGGGATTACCTGGAGCCTGGGGCAGTTGGTGGGTGTGACCCCTGCCTACTAGAAGATGGGTGGAGGATGGTCCGATATGATCATATGGTTTTTTAAATTTCTCTTATTGATATGGTGGATTATGTTGATTGACTTGCGAATGTTAAACCATCCATATATCCCTGGATTGAATCCTACTTAGTCATGGTGTGTGATATTTTTGATGAGTCATTGGATTCTGTTTGCTAGGATTTTGTTGAGGATCTTTGTGTCTCTGGTCATCAGGGATATCGGCCTGTAATTTTCTTTCTTTGTGGTA